AAAGGAGAACAAGAAAAAAACAAAAATATATGGGGTTCACTACTGCGGGCCAAAATCAGCGACAGAGTCGTCCTTCAATACCTTCATGTCCCCCACTAGTGAACCTAATCTCTCTCTCTCTCTCTCTCTCTCTCTCTCTCTCTACCTATTCAACCCGCCTAACACCACGAAGACTTTCACGGAGTCCACGATTCGACAGGACAATCGTTATGCAACAGACACAGTAGAATTCTCAAGCTGCCTTTTTTTTCGCGGACCCCCCCTTACGTGGCACTGCTTTCCTCTTCTTCGCCCCTGCTCTGCTGCCATCCCTTTTCGTCTATCTGGCCTCCATCCGTTCCTGTCTGTCCTCAGCTCTCGCCTTCTCGTCCAACATACCTTGATATTTCTCAACCCAGCGAGGCTTCGACAACCTATCCACCAGTCTCATGTCCCTGACCTGGATCGTCACCCTCTTCGATGGATGGCCACCTCGTTGGTATTCTCGAAATTGGTGACCAGGTACGCCTCGGCAGCCTCCATCAAAGCACGCACCGTTGTCATCTGAAACCTCACGCCCATACCCGGAGCAATGTCCTGCTCCACAACCTCGCGCACGAGACGCAAGAACGGCCTGAAAGCCAAGCAAAGGTCGGTGGATCGTTGCAACTTTCTGATTTCCGACAAAGCTGCCATTCCGGGGCATCGACGACGTCTGGGCACCTGAGTTCGTGCACCTGCGGTGTCTCCGGTCGTTGGCACCGCCTTCGGGTTCACCTTCTTTCTGCATGCGGGCGTCTACCCACGTGGCGGTCCCGACGTGCACTTCTTCATCTTCCCCGGGCTCTGCGACATCGCGACATCGCTCGGCCCGCCCATGTCACCCTGTGCTGCAGAGCACCCCCCGACGCGACCAGGACCACATGGGCCCTCCACATCAGCAGACAAACGGGAAATTTCTGAGCGCTCCTCTGTCCTCTTGCCTGGCTGCGCTGAACCTGCCAAATCATTCTCTGGCAGATACCGAATGTCTTGCATGAGTCCATCTGAGTAGGTCAGAAGGAAAGGCACACCAAGCGGGTCTCTGAATCTCATGGTGACGTCTCCACCATGCTCATATGTCATGGGACATACGACCGGGACCCAACCGAGAACGGTCGTGCAACCGTGCCTACGGCGAATGCGAGTCATGTATTTGTTCTAACTGTCGTCGTGCTCTTGGGCCGTACAACTCCCCTCAACCATGGACCACATCCCCTGGTCAACCATGGAGTCATAACCCGCGCACACCATCTGACGCTCCTCCTCCCTTATCTTCTCCCAGCAGCGCTTTGCGTATTCAACGACTAGCACGTGGTCCTTTACATTCACATTGAAAATTGAGACACGTGTCAGAACCACAAGGAACTGCCAATGCTCCACAATGCCTGCATGCATCCATCCCAATGGGAGCCAATGCCCTGATTGCAGTCTTGCTGCCATCGTCACCTTGCCAACAACCACTGCAGGATGCAAACATCCTGGGACCCAATTGACACGATAGCCATACTTTTCAGGGGCCATATGCTGCTGCAACTGTCCTTCAAGGATGACACGGGCCCCAATGTCCATGGCAGACAGAACGTCACTCCTCATTGTAACATGGTCCCATATCTGCGAGCATACTCCATCATACGTGGCTTTCTGCCCTCTTGCATGCGTGTATGTGCTGCCATCCTCACCAGTGAAAACTTTCCCTTCAACCATCCCCGACTCCACAGGGTTCCGAAGCGGCAGGAAAAAGCAGCCAGCAGTATGGGTAGGACATGCCATTGCCTTCTTCTCGTCTTCTGAGACCTCCCTGTCGAGGTGCTTGAAGGAGAAGTTGCCATTCACATAATGCGTGCTCCAGACATTTCTCATGGCATCACGCATCATCATCATCACACGGCCACATGGAATCGGGATCACACTTGGCACCCAACCCCACCTAGGATCCCTCCTCGCATCGCCCTCGTGGCACGACGTACTCCCTGTTGCGTCGTTCCCGCCAATCACGCATGCCTGTCCACAATCAAAACTGTCGTACAAAAAATCGTTCAGCCTTAACTCGCCCTGCGCCTCCAGAACACACCACATGTCCAATGCATATCGCCCTTTCACCTCTGCTGTTGCCCCATCGTTCAACCTTAATACTCTGTCAAACACAATTGACAGAGTCACGTTTCGCCATGCATTCATTTTGGGGGCAGGAAATGGAACTTATGTCCCTTCGACTTTGAACGCAAAGCAGGGTGCTCCTCCAACAATACCCGGTTGAACACGACCCGACACCCAATTGATGTCATATGGGTACTCTTCTCTTGCTGATGTCTTCACCACATTTTCATCTTTCACAATACACCCTGTCAGAGATTCCCTGCTTCCCATACCTCCCTTCTCTCTCTCTTCCCCAACCGTTTCCGTCTCACAAGTGCTCCCTCCTGCATCATTCTCTGTTTCATCACCATCACCCATCATCTCTGCAGTCTGTGCACATATTATCGCAAGCACCTCTGCACAGTCCGCGTTGTTCCCTCCAACCGAATTCCCTTCCTTGCTGTCATCTGCAAAACCCTTCAGAATGTCCTCCGTCTCCACGACGCATGTCTCTCCACCGTTGACAGTCGATGTAATCGCGGGTTCCATCTATTGCATGAGACACCACATACATTTATGAGAACACGTAGCTGCGACATTCCCCCTCACCCGAGAGGGAGAGAGAGAGAGATAGGCTTACTAGTGCGGGCCAGAAGGACAACAAACAGCACCGGTGGACACTGATATGGCACGCAGTAGTGAACCACTTGAGTGTCGTGAGGCAAAAAGCAGCAAACATTATGGACATAAATTTACTCTAAGCAGAAAGTAATAATACAGGCAGCTCTTAAACACACATCATTGT